CATCACACCAAACTGGGTCTCTGAGGCACACTAAAAATGAATATATGCATTGGTACATGAGCAAAAGGGTAACCTTAAATGTTCCACTGCACACTGGAATCCCATTGGTCCCCACGATGCACACAATACGTTTGGTTACCTTTTCAGGTGAACTGGACAACGTGGATTTTCCATGTTTGTACAGCTTCCATTTGTACGCATGTATTCAAGATGTATGTGCATGGAAAATCCACGTGTTGCCCAATTCAAATGAAACAGTGACTACATGTCTTGAGTGCGTTGCAGGGACCACATGCTCCTCCCGAGATGTGTATCTGAAGAGGGCAAACAGCCTTGTTCAATTGTGGTGGGTTCTGACAAAAATGGGAGCCACTCCGCACGAAAACCACCACAAAGAATGGTCCGCAAATAAATAAATACAGTTTCAGTCACTGGGCTGCCACCGTTGAAGGGGAATTAATCCATCAGGTGCTGCTCGGTTTTTGTGATGTGACAAGATTTATTGCCCATCATCTATCACAGGGAAGAAAACTCAGCTGAACCTCCATCATCCTGATCTATATTAAACAGCTGCTTGTTGGCAGGTATATTAACACAGCCAGTAATTAGTGCTGTCAAAAAGTATAAATAATCGCCTTCAGACCACAAAACCTCGCAAACAGATCTCTTCTTGCGCTGAAATTTAGTGTGGAACGTTTTGAGAGCTCTTCTCGTCTTGTGGTGGTTTGCACACACCAAGGCTGGAGTTTGTATAGGATCACAGAATCATAGGGTTGGAAGGGACTTCCACGGCCATCTAGTCCAACCCCCTGCACAAGGGAGGGAATTCACAAATACCTCCCCCTCCACACACACAGTGACCCCTGTTCCGTGTCCAGAAGATAGCAAAAAACCTCCAGGATCCTCGGCCGAACTGGCCTGGAGAATATTGTTTCCTGATCTCAAAATGGTGATCAGCATTTCCCAGGGTTTGTAAGAGAGGGCCATGAGAACTTGCACCAGTGCTAAAACCATGCTCAATATTGCTCTACATCAGGGGTCATTTCGTAGAAAAAGAGGTGCAGGAGATAATTAGCATAGCTCATTAGCATAACTTATTTGCATTTTTTTAAAAACCTCCAGGATCCCCAGCCAAACTGACCTGGAGAAAATTGCTTCCTGACCCCAAAGTGGCAATCAGCATTTCCCTGGGTGTGTAAGAGAGGGCCAAGGGAACTTGCACCAATGCTAAAACCATGCTCAATATTGGCCTACATCAGGGGTCATTTCGTAGGAAAAGAGGTGCAGGAGCTCATTAGCATAGCTCATTAGCATAACTTATTTGCATGTGCCACACCCCCTGGCATGTGCCACACCCCAAAACCGTCCAGTAGCACCTTTAAGACCAAGTTTTATTCAGGTACAAGCTCTCCCTTCTCCGTGAGGACAGATCTGCACGTTCCCCCCAACCCCCAATAGCTAGGAATCCAAAACAGTCCAGTGGAGCCTGAGCGGTGGGTGTTGCCTTCTGACACACTTCCGGTGATGTCAGGGGGTGTGGCATATGCAAATAAGTCAAGCTAATGAGTTCTGCAAATGAGCTCCTGCACCTCTTTTCCTACGAAATGACCATTGGTCCTACTGCATTGTTTCCTGGAGGTCTTACGCTGCCTGAATGAATTTTTAAAGCTATTTTGACGTAAATGTATCAGCACCTTAAGAGACCAACAAGGTTTTCAGGGCAGGAATCGAGTCAAATCAGCTTGATTAGAGCAGAGGGGAAGTGGTGGATGGAAATGCCCCTAAGAATTGCCTCTCTGCTCTCGTCAGGCTGCCTACAATGTGTGCATGGTCCCTTCGCTTCCTTTGAAACGCCCCTCCCACCTTCTGACTGGGATAAAAAGACACAAGTCTCCATTCCTACTGGTGTCTGATGAAGGCAGCGTTGACTCTAAAAAGCTTCTTATGTTGTTACAGAGCTGGAAGAAGCACAGTGGAAGGCAACAAAGGTGACGAGAGGGTTGCAGCCCCTTCCCTACGAGGAAAGTTTGGGACTTCTCCGTTTAGAAAAGGGACGGGGCGGGGACACATGAGAGAGGTTATTAAAATTACACAACATGGGGTGAAGAGAGCTGACAAAGAGAATCGTTTCACCCTCTCCTAAAATACTAGAACTCGAGGTCACTCGAGGGCATCCAATGATGCTAATGGGCAGTAGGATAAAAGGAAACACTACTTTACATAGAGAGTGATTAAAATGTGGACATCGCTGCCAGAAGATGTAGTGATGGCCACAGGAATAGACAGCTTTCAAAGGGGATTCGATAGATTCATGGAGGATAAAGTCTGTCAGTGGCTACTAGCCATGGTGACTAAATGGAACCTCTACATTCAGAGGCACTAATCCTCTGTATCCCAGAGCCAGGAGGCAACATCAGGGGAAGGCCTCGGCCTCTCTGCCCTGTTGCTGGCCCTCCAGAGGAACTGGTTGGCCACTGTGTGAGACGGGATGCTGGGCTAGATGGACCACTGGTCTGATCATAGAATCACAGAATGTTAGAGTTGGAAGGGACCTTGCAGGTCATCTAGTCCAACCCCCTGCACTCTGCAGGAGCATAGCCAAAAGAGAGCCCTACAACATACCCGGAAGACGGTCGTTTAGCCTCCGCTTGAAAACGTCTAGCGAAGGAGCACCCACCACCTCCCGAGGCAGTCTGTTCCACTGCTCAACCACTCTGACAGTTAGGAAGTTTCTCCTGATACTGAGCTAGTAACGACTCCCTTGTAATTTCCACCCATTAGATCTAGCTTTGCAATCCGGAGCAAGAGAGAATAGATCTGCTCCGTCTTCTACATGAGAGCCCTTCAAATACCTGAAGGCTGCAATCTTGTCCCCTCTAAGCCTTCTCTTTCCTGGGCTAAACAGACCCAACTCTTTCAGCCTTTCCTCCTAAGACTTGGATTCCAACCCTCTCACCATCCTGGTTGCCCTCTTCTGGACACGCTCCAGCTTTTCCAGCAGGGCTCTTCTTAAAGTGGATTCAAATCTAACAGTTCTACTGCAGCCCAACATGGCTACCCTCTTGAAATATTTTGTAATGCGCCTTGAGTCTCACCAAGAAGTGCATACAACAATTAAAGAAAATAAAACCATTAAAAAAAATCATTTGATACTCTGAAAATAAGAATAGTAAGAATTAAATCCAGACATTTGGGCACCACGAACACAATCTCACTGTCTTTCCTCTGCGTCCTCTTTTGAGGAACACCCTCCCTTCCCCTCTTCCTGCTAGCCTTTTGGCCTGAAATGGCCTCTTTCCTCTTGCCATTCCAGGACGAGCTCCCACTTGACCTTCGTGGAAACCTCACAAACACTCTCAATTATCTTAAGCAATAAAATGTGACTAATAACATGATTGTGATAAGGAATCGATTAAGGAGCAGAATGCTTCACAGACTCACACTAAGTGACACGCACTTTCACACACTAAGCGACACGCACTTTCTACGAGCAGTTTACAATTCAGGAGTGAAAGGGGAGCAGGGGTGAGAAAGAGACAAGCATTCAGCAGAAACAGAGCCACGGTACGCCGTTCCAGAGAAACCACACTTTGGTTTCCCAGATCCATATATTTATACACAGAAATGGCAAGGTCTATACATGGTGGCTATGCTTCCTCAGCTTCTTGCAGGACGCTGGTCAAAAATCACCCACATATGAAAGAGATCACGACCACAAAACTGACTCGCCACACCTACATAACATACAATATCTGCATACCGGGACAGCCAAAAGCTACCACAAGTAGAGACGCTCGAACACTTGCCAGTTCGGCTCACTTCCTGTTTGCCGGTAGTGATCAGGCAGCCAATTAATCAACAGGCTGTTAGGCTGTTCACAGCCTTATTCTGTGTATTTGTTGGAGGAGGCTGCTTGCAGCTGTCAGAAAATGGCTCCCAGCTGATGAGAGTTTCCCTGCTGGGGAAACTTTACTCTGTACAGCAAAGAGTTTTGTTTGTTTGTTAGTTTTTTGAGAAGGGAATCAGGAGCTGACATCCAGCCTTGTTCCTGGAATTCTCTGGAAGGCAGTGTGAAATTGGTTTTTATACAAGAACACAGGTGACAACTAAACAGGAAATGAGATAAAGTTTCAGTTACTACTCTGACACCAATAGGGTTCCCAAGTACCTACCTACGATCCAGCGGGGGACACATGCTTCCCCACCGGAAGATTCTTGCTTGGAACACAGGCGCTGCACTATTCCGTCGCCCAGACGTGACGTAGGCACGTAGCTGGGCGATGCTCTGGTAATGGGACTGGAAACTTGATGGTATGACAGGGGTCCTTTCCTGCAGGAGCGCACAGGAGCGGAGCTCCGGCAGTAAAGAGCCCAGGGGGCGGGCACATGCAACAAGCCCCACCCCCTGCTCCCAGCAGCCCTTAGTCAGAGCAAGAAGCAGCCAGGTAAGTTGCAGAGCCCCCCCCCACGGCCCCACGGTCCAAAACAGTCCAGTGGCATCTTTAAGGCCAAGTTTTATTCAGGTACAAGCTCTCCCTCCTCTGTGAGGACAGATCTGCACGTCCCCCCCCCCCAATAGCTTGCAATCCAAAACAGTCCGGTGGAGCCTGAGCGGTGGGTGTTGCCTTCTGACACACTTCCGGTGAGGTCAGGGGGCATGGCATATGCAAATGAGTTATGCTAATGAGCTCCTGCACCTCTTTTTCTATGAAATGACCCCTGGGTACAGTGGAAACCTGGGCACACTGAGGTATCACAGTAATACCAGTGATTGGATACAAATGCATTAAACCCTAAAAATCGCTCCAGGTGGGGGGGGGAGCAAGATTTTGGAGAAGAGAATCATAAGTATGTGAAGAACAACAACTCCCCCCCCCAATTCTCCAAACGGTTTGTAGGCCCATCAATCCATTCCATGAAATAAAAATGGGCAGTGTTTTGTTTGTACTGAAATATAAGAGCATAATCCGGAATATGACCAACTGGTCATTCTCCCTTACCCAGCGAGGCCAGTGTTGAACACAACTTCTCCAGCAGTAGAGGACGGATGACCGAAGGAGTAGCCCTTCATCTTGGTTCCATCTTCCAGCACCAAGTTGGCTTTCTGTGCCTAAAGACAAATAGCCCACAAGACAAGATGTTTATATCTCTCCAGTGCCTTTGACCTAATTCCGTTAGACCCGAAACTGGGGTTGGCATTACTTACTGCTCTTATAAGCAGGTACAAGGACGCACTGGAAAAATTATTAGCTGTTGTAGATCTTCCGGGCTGTCTGGCCGTAGTCTTGGCATTGTAGGACCTGACGTTTCGCCAGCAGCTGTGACTGGCTGTTGGATCCCCAAGCATCGAGAATAAATCCACGTTTCAAAGAAAGCAAAGTTTATTTCAAAGCATTGGAAAGACACTCAAACACGTTCTTTGTTAGAACTGGGGACCAGCAGTTAGGGCAGACATGATAAAGGGATTCAAGTTAGATACAGAACCAATGGATAACGTTCCCGCCGGCGGGCAGGAGAAAACGGTTCCTTGCTCAGATCTTGGGAACCAGGCAAACAGTAGACACAACACAGGTGCAGTTCTCAGGCTTGAGAAATAACAAGCTGGCAGCGAAGCATACTCTCCCCCTCACATCCTCCAGTTGTTTTACTTTGGCATTACAGCAGGCAAACACATAGGTCAGCTGGCAGGGACAGGGATCACATATGTACAACCAGAAGTCACACAAAACACCATGGCAGCTTGCTGACACTGGCATCCTCAGATGTATCACACAGAAAGAGGGAGTACTCTCCATGTCAAGGTGAGAGGGGAAATGGTAGGCAGGTAACTTATATCTACTCAGGAAGGTGGGGTAGGGCTGATCGTTCTGACTGAAAAGCCTACAGGGTTGCTTATAAGTCGGCTGCCCCTTGACCGCACTTGCAACCACCATCAATATCTGACTTAGGGGGAGGGGAGATCTTATGGCAACCCTCTAGGGTCCCCAATGCCAGAGACATTCAGAGGTGGTTTTTGCCATTGCCTGCCTCTGCGTAGTAACCCTGGGCTTCCTTGGTGGTCTCCCATCCAAGTACTAACCAAGGCCGACCCTGCTCAGCTTCCGAGATCTGATGAGATCGGGCCATACCAGGTCAAGGGAAGAGATGTTCATAAGACAATATCCTATTTACAAAAAACTTGGATGAAAGAAGGTCAGATAACAGAAAACATGGCAAGCAAAACTATGAAGGGAATAGAGAAAGTTAAAGTGATCAAATGTAATGAAATGGAGCATAAATCCTTTACAAAATGGTGCAAAACACCAGCGCAATTGGCAAACACGTTCCCAGGAGCGAGTCCCATGTGCTGGCACTGTAAACAGGCTAAGGGCTGGTTTTCCCACATGTGGTGGGAATGCCCAGAGGCTAGAGCCTTTTGGGCAAAAATTTTACAAATTATAGCGAAAATACGCAAAGTCTCATTGACCATAAACTTCAATCTAATGCTAATGGGTACAATTGGGAACCCAGCAGTAAGTAAGGAGAACCAAGCTACATTTAAAGCCATGATATTAGCTAGTAAAGGAGTGATTGCTCTGGGCTGGAAGGACAAGAGTAAATGGACAGTAGAAATCTGGCATAATTATTTGTTTGATTTCATACAGTCGGACATAATTGCGAAGCTGAGCCGGAAGACCATATGGGCAGAAAAGACCAAAGAAATCAGGACGAAATGGAAGACCTACCTAGAATGGATACTAACAGAAGGAAGAAAAGACATTCAGTGCAAGATTCGGACTTTGTGCCCGTGGCTGGGATCAAAGGACTTGTGAACTGAAATAGCAAGGGATGGGTGGGGGGAGGGGGAGGGTTTATAAAGTGATATGTAGTGTACAGGACAAAAGTTAATATGTAATATACACAAAACTTTACATAAAGATATGTTGGAGATGTAGGAAAAATACAGGGTCATATCTCCACATCTGGTGGAGATGTAAAAAAAATCCAAACTTTTTGGAAAAAAATAAATAAAATATTCTTAGACCTTTTAAAAACTAATATCCCGTTAATTCCTGAAACGTATCTACTTAACATGATACCGGACACAATAAAAGAACACAACCATATAATTACCTATATTTTAACAGCGGCAAGAATATTGATAGCAAAGCGTTGGAAAACTAAAAGTATACCATCTATAAAAGAACTTAAGTATAAAATCCTGGAAGTTGCAGAAATGGACAAATTAAATGTAGAGCTACAAAATAAATCGGAAGAACTTTTCTGGGACAGGGGGAGAATAATTTACGACTGGCTGAGGATAAAGAAGATAGTTTGAATATGAAATTAGGCTAGTTAGAAGAGGACAATGTTATAGAAGATAGGAAAATGTTACGTTATGAAATGTATAAGAGTGGCACGAATGTGTAGAATGAAAAATGGAGGGGGGGAATGAAAAAATAAATTAAAAAAAAACTACATAAAAAATAAAAATAAAAAATAAAAAGGGAAGAGATGTTCAGCAGCGCTTTGCCCTTGCCTGCCTCTGCATAACCACCCTGGACTACCTCGGTTGACTGTCATGCAAAGACTTGGCTTCCAAGATCTGACAAGACTGGGCCAGGCTAGCCTGGGCCATCCAGGTCGATGCCTCATCATTGTGTGATGTCATGGCACCCCCACGGGGTATTAAAGGGAAGAGAGGTTCAGGAGCGCTTTGCCATCGCCTGCCTCTGCATAGAAATGTTGAACTATCTGGGTGGTCTCCCACCCAAATACTAGCCAGGGCTGACCCTGCTCAGCTTCTGAGATCTGAGGAGATGGGGCTAGCCTAGGCCATCCAGGTCAAGGGAAGAGATGTTCAGAGGTGGTTGGCCATTGCCTGCCTCTGCGTAGCCACCCTGGGCTTCCTTGGTGGTTTCCCACCCAAATACTAGCCAGAGCTGACCCTGCTCAGCTTCTGAGATCTGATGAGATCGGGCTAGCCTAGGCCATCCAGGTCAAGGGAAGAGATGTTCAGAGGTGGTTGGCCATTGCCTGCCTCTGCGTAGCCACCCTGGGCTTCCTTGGTGGTTTCCCACCCAAATACTAGCCAGAGCTGACCCTGCTCAGCTTCTGAGATCTGATGAGATCGGGCTAGCCTAGGCCATCCAGGTCAAGGGAAGAGATGTTCAGAGGTGGTTGGCCATTGCCTGCCTCTGCGTAGCCACCCTGGGCTTCCTTGGTGGTTTCCCACCCAAATACTAGCCAGAGCTGACCCTGCTCAGCTTCTGAGATCTGATGAGATCGGGCTAGCCTAGGCCATCCAGGTCAAGGGAAGAGATGTTCAGAGGTGGTTGGCCATTGCCTGCCTCTGCGTAGCCACCCTGGGCTTCCTTGGTGGTTTCCCACCCAAATACTAGCCAGAGCTGACCCTGCTCAGCTTCTGAGATCTGATGAGATCGGGCTAGCCTAGGCCATCCAGGTCAAGGGAAGAGATGTTCAGAGGTGCTCTGCCATTGCCTGCCTCTGCGTAGCCACCCTGGGCTTCCTTGGTGGTTTCCCACCCAAATACTAGCCAGAGCTGACCCTGCTCAGCTTCTGAGATCTGATGAGATCGGGCTAGCCTAGGCCATCCAGGTCAAGGGAAGAGATGTTCAGAGGTGGTTGGCCATTGCCTGCCTCTGCGTAGCCACCCTGGGCTTCCTTGGTGGTTTCCCACCCAAATACTAGCCAGAGCTGACCCTGCTCAGCTTCTGAGA